CACGTACCCAAAAATTATCACAAAAATAAAATGTGTCTTTAGTCCAGTTGCCTAGAAATCTACTTCATTTTTGTAGTAAGTTTGTGCACCAACAGGGAAGCCAAAGGCCTCAGTAGCAGCGACGCATGCTTCACGCCGTGTCAACCAACCTGTTCCAGCGCCAAACGGAAGTCTGCCTCTTTCAAGTGGTCTGAAAAGGCTGCTATCCACAGGCCTGGACTTTCAATGTATTGGGAAGGAAATGCCCAAATGTTAAGCCTACAAACCACCTCAGAAGATTGCTTCTTTACTTGTGTTTTAAATTTTCAATTAGCTAACTTTGTGCTTGTATTACTGATTGGCATGAATGCTTTTTATTAAGCCTAGAAACCACCTCAGAAGCTTGCGTCTTTACTTGTGTTTTAAACTTTCAATTACCTAACTTTGTGTTTGTATTACTGATTGGCCTGAACGCTTTTTATTTAATAGGGCTATGCCCCGGTTGTGTTGTATGGACTCGAGGTGATGATGATTATTTACATGTTACCTCCTGATAATAGGGGTGCAACCATTGGATTATGGTTTAATAATACAGATATAAAATAGATAAAAGCCAACTACGTTGAAAGTAAAGGTGAAAGTTAAGGAACGGTTACCTTCAGATCACGTTCTATGGGATTGTGCCACTGTGGGGATGTTGAGAAGCTCTTTGAAGCAATTGTTAATCTACCACAGCATTTCATTTTTCAGCCATAATTTGAAGATTTTTCTTTGATACCATGTATCTTTTTATGCTGAATAAATGGGAAAACAGTTAGGTACCCTCGAAGAAATATGCTTTTCCTGTTAGAATATATGGGACTTGTGTCACCCATCAACCATGACTAAATCATATTCGTATAAACAAAAGTTAATTAATACACATGCACCCGCACATACAAATCCAGCAAGAGTTGTAACTTGGACCAAAGAATTGCAAGAAGCAAACCTTTTAACCAGAAAACTCCTCGAGTATAGTGGCTATCTAGGAATAAGGGTCTTTAGAACTCTTGTGCTGCACTTTAACTTTGCTCTTCAATGCTGCAGTTTTGTATTTATTTAATTGTTTTTAATTTATGCACAGAACAATATTATGTGATGCACTTTGAAACCAAAAGCTATGAGATTGTAGGAAAACCAAAAGCTGGGCACAACTTAAAGAGACCACCAAGACCAAACAGGATTGAACTGGGTTGGATTGGAACCATAATCTTAAAAAAACTGTATTAAACACCTGATTTGTACTCAAAAACATTCTTGCTCATCATGTTACTTTTTCATCAACAATTTGTGACAATAATGACAACCCAAATTGATCATCATGTTACAGTAGACTAACTGATATTGCCCGATCAATAGAAGTTAAAAGTTTTATAATTATAGGTAGTACATATGGTCAATTGGCCAGGAGAAATCACACCTTAGAACAAACAAAGAAATTAAACTTCTGTTGTTATCAAGTAAGAGTAAGAGTATGACCTTGAGATTATTTTCTTTTGCTGAATGCCAGGAACCAATTTTCAAGAATGCTGTCAAAGCACGTGCAGCAATTGACCAAATTGTAGAGCACATGAAAGGAAAGGAAGCAGCTGCATGAAACATAACATGTTAAGCCTACTTTTCTTTCATTAAATGCTACAAATATTTTGTTGTCTTGTGTTGTCTTGATATGAACCCATAAAAGAGAATGATAATATGTTTCATAAGTGCCTTGTGATCTCAAACCACTCGTATCAAATAAGGGAAGTTATTTCCTCTGCTCGAAAAGCCAAATAGAAATATTCCACTCAAATGCACTGACTGATGTGTAAAATTCCTCAAGTTTCAAAATTATCTTTGCAAGTATATTCATATATGTGAGTGAGTTATATGATAAAAAACTCTTGGTTTTAAAACATAACGAGTTGCCTAAAGTTCTAGCTTCACTTTTGAATTCAGGTTCTATAAGAGTAAAACATAACAAATTGCCTAAAGTTCTAGCAATTTTTTTCACCTGGAAAATACCTCACTATAAAGTGATGGATTGAACTATTTTAGCTAGGTATATGGAAACACAGTATGTGCTTTTGCTGTGCCAACACATAACAGTTACATTAATTTGTTTCAATTCCATGTCTATCGAAGTATTCTTTTAGAGTTTTATCATTTAATCATCCGGATAAACAATATTTGCAGTGCACATATAAATTCCTCTTGCATGGAAATCTAATTCTGCTTATAATTGAAATCATTAGTGTTAGCCATGAATCACAGATGACCGTCAATTGTCTAGTTTGGCTTTAGAATTCAAGCAAGTAATAAAGAATCTTATCTGCTCATAATTTTAAGTAATAGTTGTTGCCATGATGTGTTAACAGTTTACCTTGTCAAATCTTGCTAACAGCTCCCACCAAAGTTTCATTCTAACAGTACCATTCTTTCTATAAACCTATACTAATAAAAGTCAATTAAGCATAACTGCAACACTGGCAATAGTTTAAGCCAGAAAAAATCTGGTACCTTTAGTATATAAACAGTATGCGAAGAGATCTTGAACTTTTGGTTCATAACTCATTCAGTATAAATAACATAATTACATAAAAAAAATACTTACTTCCGTTGTATCTTTAATTATCTCAACGAGTACTCATAAAAGTAAGGGAAAACCAAATTTAACATAAAAAGGCGAAGAAAATCTTCTCTTTTGAACCAAACACACCTTGAAAGACTTAGGAAATAAGTCAGATCTGGTCCTCTCTTTAAGTGTGCATATCGAAAACTTGCGAGAAACACATCACTTTTGATTATGATTGCAATAACAATTGAAGGCGTTGATGTCGCGAGCATTTACTCCGATCCGTATTGCCTGATAATTAAATTGAATGGGTTGTGTTTCTTTGGATGGTTAACTATATGGATACCCAGTATGTTCGAAAGAATAGCCGGTGTATACGGAGAATGCATAATTATAACAGAGATAGGGGCATAGTGGGAAGTATATGGCATGGTACCACTCTAAAAGCTAAGAGTACATATTTTTTGGATGGAAAAAAACCATAATATTAATGGGTACCTAACTGTATTCTACATTTATATAATAAGAGGAGATGTAAATCACTCACACACACTCACACCAGGGTCGTGTGTGTTGACACCAAAGAGCTAACCAATTTCCTCAACCACTCAGTTCAGTAACCCTTCTTAACTCAATATTACACTCTACCCTTACAAACTAGAGACTAGCGCCTATTTTATGTCACAAGATGTATTGATCTCAGTTTGGTCTGGCCTTGACTTTTCCCCAACTTCCCACCAGTGAAAATTGAAGAAAATAATGTGAAATAAATGGTCAATAAGCCCTAGAGAAAAACCAACGTCACAGTTGGGTCGGGTCTCCAGGACCTTCCTAGACCTCGCTTAACTAAATCGTCTAAATGGGGGGTCTAGAATATTAGCAAAGTCTGGTAAACAATTAATCCTTTCCTCGATACAGATCATTCATTTATGAATTTCAGAGGTGAAATACTTGTTTCATAACGCAAGCATCAAACCAAGTTACTACTCTACTGACTCCTATTATAAACAAATGTCATCAAACTCATTACAGTAGGGTCAAGGTAAAAAAAACAGCATCTCAGATTCACAAATAAACAAAACCTGCGGAACAAATTCTAACAACGCAACTAAGCCAGATCGGAGGATTATCAACACTAACCCCTACAACTTTTCAGATTTGGAACCAATATAATGAAGAGTTAAGGTTTTAAACGCTATACCCTGAGTATCCTGGTGGTGTTCTGTTATACCCGAGCCTAGCCCCATGAAACTCTCACTCACGCCTTACACTATCATAAGAACGAAAGGACTTATATTCAAATATTATGATCCATTTTAGTTGAATTCAAATGGTCCTTAAACCCAAAAGGCCAAAACAACCTCCGTTTGACCCGAGGGTTCTGTGGTCTACTCCCATTTCAGTCCAAACCATCCCAAAACATCCAAAATATTTCCTTTTCAAAATAAAGTTTTTCCTACTCTTATTTTAGCCATGGCCGAAAATAAGAGTGTATAAACCAAAACCTTTTTGTTTGTTGTTATTTTCCTTCTTTTAAGCCTTTTAATAAACCAGTAAAACCCTCTCTTCCTTCCTTTCATTCCCTGCCCAAATAAACCTCACAATCCCAACACAACACCGACAAAGAGCCAAAACCATGACCCACCTCCAGCCCCTACTTCCTACTTCCTGCCCATGTTTTCCCTCACAGTAACCCAAAGCCATAACTCCAAAATACCCATAAATAATACCCAGCCCTGTCCCCTTTTAATGACCAAAAACAACCCCTCTTTTANACTTTTGTGAGTTTATTGACACTCCACCCACCAAATCAGTCCCCACATACCTTCCATGAATGACCCAATATAAGGCCAATAAAACCAACCCCTTTGTCCCCCATTATTTCCCAAGAATCATCACTTATTTCCTTGTGATTTTCCTCACTAAAGGACAAGCCACCAGCCATGAAAATCAAAGACCAAATCCCTGATTTCATTCCATTAAGAAAACATAAACAAATGGATATTATTCTTGTGATTTGTGAGTGGATGTTTCAGGGAAGTTTCCCCCCTATGTGTGTGTATTTATTTCGGCCTTAGGCCCTTTTGTGAGACTCACATTGTAATTCCATTTTCCATTTAGTAATACACTTGTTGTGTTTGCTATTTAAATTCCTAAATCTATATCTTAAGAGTGGTTATCTTAAGTGTGAGTTTTAGGTTCTAGATATTTGATTAAGTGTGTCATATCTTAATTAAATTCTAGATTCAAACCCCAAGTTAGGATAAGAGTGTGTAATATCTCTTAAACACCAACTTGGTTTATCCATCCCCGATTTTCTTCCATTTCTTACCTCCCCATTTCTCCTTCTTAAACCTATTCCTTTCTTCCATAAACTACCAAAAAGAACTCCTAAAACACCCTCCATACTTTCGCCCACTACTTCCCTTCCATTTTCCTCCGCAAATCCGCCACTAAATTATCAACTTGATAAGACCCCCGATTCACCCCTAACATGTTTCTTGTCGGAAATTGAAAGTCTGTGCTGGGACCCTCCGGTTTGCCTCGATTATATCTCCGGTTTCAGGTTCCTTGGCCACGATGTGGATGCAGCTGTCTCTCCCTCGGCTTATCCTCCTACTGCTTGGTTTCTTGCGATCTTTACAGAACCCGAAAAACCTGAGTGAGAGGAGTCAAAAGGTGTTATCCGTGTCCTCCAACTCACCGGAGACGACAATCGGATGGATAAGGTTTTCTCGGTGATGAAAATAGTCTCTTAAGCATTAAAATCTAAAAACTCACTAATTTTTGAAAAAATTTCAACATTTAAGACCAAAAGCTGTCACATTTAAGATCTGTTTTTTTTAAACATACCAAAACAAAATTTATCACAGAATTTAAAACCAGCAATCAGCAATTCAACCATTAGACCTTAGACTTCAAACTTCCAATAATGGACCCCCCCCCCCACACTTGATGATGCAATGTCCTCCGCGCATGAATGTGTAATGAAAAATAACCACATCATGCCAGAGTCAAGCAAAGAAGGGTTGGGGGTTCAACTAAATGAAAACTCAGATGTGAGCCAAGAAAGAATGAGATGGAGATTTCAACTGAACAAGTTATAGAATTCAGCCAAGAGAGAATGGGGGTGAGATTATCATATAAGCACAAAACATAGTGAGACCAAGAGAGAAAAGGGTTAAGAGGGACTCCCTGTTTCACCAATTTTACACCTGCAAGGCCTTCATTTACACCCTATAGCCAAGAAAACCTGCAACCACCACTGGATACTCAAAAAAACAAAACATAAAAATAAAAGAGACAAAAAAAAACAAATTTTGGGTTGCCTCTCAATTAGCTTCCAAGTTTAAAGTCTTTGGGTAGACTCTTTTGTTGGTTTAAAACCAAGGTCGCTGCCACACATGATTTTCATTTCTTAAAGCATGTTGGTGGGCTCTTTTAGTTTAATTAACAAAAAATAAAATTTCCTATTGTCTCTCTAGATTTAAAACAATATAATCTTTAATTTTTGGAAAAGGATCAAGTTCTATCTCAAATGAAATTTGTCCTTTAGAATTGTTTGAAAAAAAAACTTCTCTTTAGTTTGACCTTAAAAACAGAATTTGAAGTCAATGACCTCGCAGTCTTTAATCCTCCTATTCATAGTATTAAGCTCAATAGCCAAAAAATCTTTAATCATTGCATTTCCTAAAAGGGCAGCTTTATCAAAAGCAAATAAAGTGAAAGTGTCACTTTTTATCATTAAGAAAAGGGTTTTTTAAATCTGCATCAAATCATGTTGCTTCTTTAATTCTTGTTGAAATAATTTTGAGTTCAACAGAGGGAACTAAATTTTGTGTTACAGCAACCAATGTTGTAGACAAACTCTACATCAAGTATCAACACAATAGCTGTTAACAGATAGGACGGAATGAATGAGGTAACTATTATTGCAGAACTTGCGTATGAAGTAAAAGGAAGTACAACACAAAGAAAGATTAAAATGCGAATTGGAAATGACCTTTAGCAAATCAAGTCTGAGATTCACACCATTTAGAAGGTATTTCCCATGGACATTCCCAACGCACACCGGCAATGCATATATCCCTCTACCCTTAACGTAGTCATTAGCCTAAAAAGCAAATGCAGGTAAGATATAAGCAATGAAAACAACTACTAAATCACTGACTGCAACATGGCATATATAAAAGGTAATAAATGAAAAACCTGATCCACAATGGTGAACTTAGGTTTATAATTTTCAAGAGACAAGTCATCTTCTCTTCCTGACAATCTTCCCAACTCAGATTCCACAAATAAATTTTTGGGGGGTGTCAATACCGAGATGCATGTTTGTTTTGCAAATTCTTTTTTTCAAATTGGAGGTGTCACCCATCAACCATGACTGAATCATATTCGTATAAACAAAAGTTAATTAATACACATGCACCCGCACATACAAATCCGGCAAGAGTTGTAACTTGGACCAAAGAATTGCAAGAAGCAAACCTTTTAACCAGAAAACTCCTCGAGTATAGTGGCTATCTAGGAATAAGGGTCTTTAGAACTCTTGTGCTGCACTTTGACTTTGCTCTTCAATGCTGCAGTTTTGTATTTATTTATAACATCCATTGTTTTTAATTTATGCACAGAACAATATCTTGTGATGCACTTTAAATAAACAATCAAACTGGAAATTATAAACAATCATCAGAATTGGAGGAAAAAAAAATCGAAAGCAATGACTGAAAAAAAAGCTTGAAACAATTGACAAACCTAGAAGCAAAGCAAACGACTGTGATTCATTCTATCTCCAAAACCCGATTATAAATTGCTACATGATTGTGGAAATTGTAACATGTGTTCAGATTATTAATAATTAGGAGTATATTCCAATCATTTAACTGCAAAAAATGAAAGGGAATAAAGAACCCGTTCAACCACAATTTGGAAAACTAGCAAATTGCATAATCCAATCATGTATTAGCATTTATATTTAAAATTAATGCAAATCAATTACCTGATTTATTTTGGAGAATCCGGAAATCAAGGGAATTCCATAGCAACGGATCACATGAATCACTCAAACTCCTGAATGAAATTCTATATATCTCCGCTCCAGGCAATTAATTCGATAACAATTGAAGGCGTTGATGTCGCGAGCATTTACTCCGATCCGTATTGCCTGAGAATTAAATTGAATGGGTTGTGTTTCTTTGGATGGTTAACTATATGGATGCCCAGTATGTTCGAAAGAATAGACGGAGTATACGGAGAATGCATAATTATAACAGAGATAGAGGCATAGTGGGAAGTATATGGCATGGTACCACTCTAAAAGCTAAGAGTACATATTTTTTGGATGGAAAAAAACCATAGTATTAATGGGTACCTAACTGTATTCTACATTTATATAATACATTTATATAATAAGAGGAGATGTATATCACTCACACACACTCACACTGGGGGCGTGTGTGTGTTGACATTTTAAAAAGTAACAAAAACAGTATTGAAGTAAAATATAAAACCAAGTAATAGAAAATTCTTTTTGTATGAAGTTCATGTAAATAGGTAATGAAAAAACACGAGTTGTAATGAAAAAGGACTTTGGTTTGATGTTAAATTTATTAAACTAACCTTCACCACATCATTAATTCTCAAAGTTGTAAGAACATTACAAGAACCAAGGTTACGGGAAATTGACACCAAAGAGCTAACCAATTTCCTCCACCACTCATTTCAGTAAGTAACCCTTCCTAACCCAGAAATATTACACCCTACCCTTACAAACTAGAGACCGGCGCCTATTTTATGTCACAACAACAACAACAACAACAACAACCCAGTTGAATCCCACAACAGTAGGGTCTGGGGAGGGTGTGTGTACGCAGACCTTGCTCCTACTCGGAAGTAGGGAGGCTGTTTCCAAGAGACCCCCGGCTCCACCTGCACAAAAATATGGAAGGGAACACAGTATAGCACAGATAAAGCACCAAGTACAAGCAACCAATACAAACAATAGCAGAAGATTCCAAACAAATACAACACCCTACATAACAACCTCTACAACACCGAGCTCCTATCCAGCTACTCTAATCCTAGTTTTCCAAAGGTTCCTATCTAGGGCCATATCCTCAGTCAGGTCGAGAAGTCCTAAATCCTGCCTAATCACCTCCTTCCAATTCTTCCTAGGTCTACCCCTTCCCCCACTTCCCCCAATAACCGTAATCCTCTCGCATCTCCGTACAGGGGCGTCAGCATCCCGCCGTCTCACATGGCCAAACCATCTCAACCTCGCTTCCCGCAACTTGTCTTCCACCGGTGCCATACCTACCTGACGTCGGATAACTTTGTATTAATCTCAGTTTGGTCTGGCCTTGACTTTTCCCCAACTTCCCACCAGTGAAAATTGAAGATATTAATGTGAAGAAAATGGTCAATAAGCCCTAGAGACAAACAAACGTCACAGTTGGGTCTCCAGGACCTTCCTAGACCTCGCTTAACTAAAACGTCTAAATGGGGTCTAGAATATTAGCCAAGTCTGGTAAACAATAAATCCTTATTACACATTTCCTTGATACAGATCATTCATTTATGAATTTCAGAGGTGAAATACTTGTTTCATAACTCAAACATCAAACCAAGTTACTACTCTACTGACTCCTATTATAAACAAACGTCATCAAACTCATTACAGTAGGGTCAAGGTAAAAAAAAATAGCAACTCGGATTATAAACAATCATCAAAATTGGAGGAAAAAAAATCAAAAGCAATGACTGAAAAAAAAGCTTGAAACAATTGACAAACCTAGAAGCAAAGCAAACGACTGTGATTCATTCTATCTCCAAAACCCGATTATAAATCGCTCATGATTGTGGAAATTGTAACATGTGTTCAGATTATTAATGATTAGGAGTATATTCCGATTTTTAACTGCAAAAAATGAAAGGGAATAAAGAACCCGTTCACCCACAAACTGGAAAACTCGCAAATTGCGTAATCCAATCATGTATTAGCATTTATATTTAAAATTATTGCAAATCAATTACCTGATTTATTTTGGAGAATCCGGAAATCAAGAGAATTCCATAGCAACGGTCAACGGATCGCTCTCTCGGTGATGAAACCCTGATTTATTTTGGAGACGACTATCCGAATAGGTTTTCTCTGTGATGAAACCCTTCTGGTTCTCTCTCTGAAGTCTAGAAGCCAGTGAATAAATATTGCTTAAAAATCTGTGGGTGCAAAATGCAAATATTGCTTATAAAGGTACCCCAACTTTATAGATTGCAACAAAAATGTACCCCATTTTAAATTTGTAACAAAAACGTACCCATCTTTTAAATCTATAACAAAATCATTCCCTTCACCAGAATTGATAACCTCCGGCGAAGAATTGATGAGGTGGCATCCATGTTGGCATACCCCCCATCTTTTTCTCTCCTACGTGTTAATTATACCTTTTCTTCTTAAAATCTTTTTTCTTAAAAATTTTAGAAAAATATTTTTATGTTCAATAAAGAACATGTTTCTTTATGACAATATAAGATTAGTTTAAATAAATTTTTCATATATTAAAATTTTTAAAATAACAATTAATTCTGTGCAAACAAGTTTCTTTTTAATTATATTTGGAAAATATAATTTTTTTATTAAAAAAATTGAATTAAAGAGAGGATGATGCATTACCCATCAAGATAGCCTAACTGGAATGTGTAAAATACGTTAGGCTATCTTGATGGGTAATGCATCATCCTCTCTTTAATTCAATTTTTTTTTAATAAAAAATTATATTTTCCAAATATAATTAAAAAGAAATTTGTTTGCAAAGAATTCATTTTTATTTTAAAAATTTTAATACATGAAAAATTTTATTTAAATTAATCTTATATTGTCATAAAGAAACATATTCTTTATTGAACATAAAAATATTTTTCAAAAATTTTTAAGAAAAAAAATTTTAAGAAGGAAAGGTATAATTAACACGTAGGAGAGAGAAAGATGGGGGTATGCCAACATGGATGCCACCTCATCAATTCTTCGCCGGAGGGTATCAATTCTAGTGAAGGGTATGATTTTGTTATAGATTTAAAAGACGGTGTACCTTTTTGTTACAATCTTCAAAGTTGGGTATCTTCTGTGAAAAAAACCCTTACTTATGTAACATTTTTATGCAATCTAATTTATAAATTGAATAAAAAGAAAAGAAAATCATTTTTGTGTTGCCTTTTTTAACATCTAATATGTCACATAATTTTTTATATGGAAAATATAAAATTAATATTTTGGTAAGAAATGTTTTGAGTAAATATGTAACACTCCAACTCGCGTAACCCGAAACGATGAATTAGCGAGTCGGGTTGTCACTAATTTTATATTCACATGCATAATATTTTGAAAACATTTAAAATAAAACATACATTATATTTAATTAAAAACAATTTATAATTAATCGGAGTAAATAATTCAAACGTTGCAGAAGCTTTTAAAACAACAACGTCAAACATTCTTGTAGTTTAAACAAAATAAAAGCCAACAAGTATTTAATTCAATTTCAAACAGCATCGGGCCATCCACCAGCATCACGCTTCACTGTCCTCCAGGCTGCTCTTCATCCAATCCTTGATCTCTACCTGTAAAAAATAGGGAGAGTGGAAGTATCTAACGCTAGAACTAACTCATAGACTAGCACCCATCAATATACAATCATACAACATCAGAAGAATTAGCAAATATCATTATCAAATATCATGATCAACTATTTATTTATATTCAGTTCCTGTTGTTCATCTACACTTAACCCTATAGGCTAAGGTTCCTTTTGACTAACTAAGCCATGGACACTCGGACGGATCCCCCGAGGCCACGCTTGATGAAACCCAAAGAGAATCCTCAATGGGCGGGTTGGAGCCCCTACAAAGGAATCCCTAGGTAGGCTAATGACTCCCATACGTACGTTTTTAACCCAAGACCTGTTATGCGAAGCTCGCCCCACCAGGCCTGAATCCTAATCCTTATCCGTATAATTCACAACCTCCCAGATATACCAGGTGGTCTATTCCTAAATTCCAATTCAGTACACAAAATCACCCATAAGTTTTGTAACCAACACATAACCTATTACACACAATCGTCGGCCCATTGGGGAAACGATGCACACTTATCACACATAAATAAATTATGGCCAAACAGATTGATTGTAAAACCCCAAGCAACCCATTGAACTTCCCAATGTCTACCAGGCAGCCCAAATCTCCAGCAGGGGCAACCCACAACCGGCAGCGGTGGTCTCCCTCGGTGGCAGCAGCATCTTAGTGGCGGCAGCATGTGTCCGATCAGTAAATTCTAATATGCCGACAACATCCCATCAGTAGCATCTAGATCAGCGGAAACAGGGCAGAAACAATGGCCAGAAAGAAAGAGAATAGAGAAGAACAGAACAGAGCAAAAGAGGACAAGAACTAATGGAAGGAATCCTACAACCGAACAATGAACCAGATTCCCGAATCCAAGACAATCCCTCAAGAGATTCATAATTCAATTCACAAATTCATCATCAATTACACGAAAATATATCAACAAATCCTAATCTACGAATCAATTCTAACGAGAGATAATTCACTCACCTCAATATAATCGAAGAAGAATACCAAATTTACCGGTAGGAATCCGGCAAGATTTTCCGGCTGCCTTAGATGACAGAGCAGCGGCAGACCCGCGGTGGTTAGCTCCGGTCTAGCCTCCTGCTATGCGGCTCTTTCCCCTAGTCCGGCGATCACGGTAGCGAGGACGAAGAAGACCCGCTAGGACCGGCGAAGCTCGGGCGTTTACTCCCTCTGGCTGTTTCGGTCGAAGGGAAGGACAAGGACAGAGGTAGGCGATGGTCAGGTTTATAAAAAGAATGGATTTGGGCTTTTGCAATGGAAATTGGGAAGTAACGCACGCCTATTTGGTTTTCCTATCATTTATTAATATTACAAAATTCTTTACATTTATTTATTAAACTGTATTGATTGTTTCGCTCATCACGATGCACACGAGATTCCAAACTTGACAAACAATATGCCGTTGGTCACCTTTTTCCGAGACGTACCCAAAAACCTAATTTTTAACTAAAATGGTCAACTTTACAAATACTTCATATTTTGAAGTCAATAAATAATCAATTTATTTTTATTAAGATAACGGCTAACTACTAAGCCGGTTTTCAGGGCGTTACATTTTTCTCTCTCTTAAAGGAATTTCGTCCCCGAAATTCTTCTAAGGTCATACATTCCAATTTTTTTTTATCAACTGTTTTTTTTTCTCATATGTTTTGATTTGAAATCACTACGTTATTGTTTTTTTCTAAGCTGTTAAAACGACAATCAATTTTTTTTTTTAAATCAAGAGTAAACAATTCACGTGAGTCTTTTTTTTAAAAATAGCAAAATACAATTTGTACTTTCTTTTTACAACAAAGTAGTGATTGACAAAATTTATTCGTAACTATTTGTTTTTTTAGGAAAGTATATTATTTTATATTTTTTTTTTACTTTTCATTTTTTTTATTGCTCTCGCCTGACACTGAAATAAAACACCGCTATTCATCCAGGTCTGCAGCCCCTTCTGAATTTGGTTCTTATTCCAATAATCAGCGGAACAAATGATTATTGATTAAGATATTTTATTCTCCTTATGTATATACATTTTTAAGACCTTTTTTTTTTAAAAAAAAATGGTACACTAATTTTTTTTTGTTCTCTCTTTTTCTTTTTTTTTTTGGCTGATTCAATTAACTCCTTAAAAGTTTATCAATCCCGTTCAAAATAATTGGTAAGAGTAATTGACATTATTTTTAGAGTCGCCTACGCACTTAGTTGGCACGTGACACAATTTTCTTCTTCCTTGTAACATGATCGCACTAGTCGTCATGGATAATAGTGAATTTATTATTTCTTTTACTCACTCTCTAGATTATTTACATTTTTTTTCCTTTTCATAACCAATTTTTTTTTCTTCATTTGTTTTTAATATCCTTTTGCTCAGTTTTTTTTTTACACAAATGATTTTTTTTCACATATTATATATTAAGAATTCAAAGTTACCTCCTGGAGCAGTGACGTCGCGAAGCTGTGGATGCCCTTTTTTTAAAAATAAATTCACATTTTGTTTTTTTCTTCCGAGAACCGTTTTTAAAACCACATACTCTGATACCAAAATGTAACACCCCGACCCGCGTAACCCGAAACAACGAGTTAGCGAATCGGGTTGTTACTAATTTGGTATTCACATGCATAATATTTTTGAAACATTTAGAAATAAAACAAACTTTCATATTTATTGAAAAACAATTCATTGTTTAATCGGAGTAAATAACTGAAACGTTGCGGAAGCCTTTAAAACATCATTCAACATTCTAGTAATTTAAGTAAACAAATGCAACAAACTATTTTTAATTTAAATAAAACAACATCGGGTCATCCTCTAGCGTCACGCCTCACTGTCCTCCAGGCTGCTCTTCATCCAATCCTTGATCCCTACCTGTAAAAAAATAGGGAGAGTGGAAGTATCTAACGCTAGAAGTAACTCATAGACTAGCACCCATCAATATACAATCATACAACATCAGAAGAATTAGCAAATATCATTATCAAATATCATGATCAACTATTTATTTATATTCAGTTCATGTTGTTCATCTACACTTAACCCTATAGGCTAAGGTTCCTTTTGACTAACTAAGCCATGGACACTCGGACGGATCCCCCGAGGCCACGCTTGATGAAACCCAAAGAGAATCCTCAATGGGCGGGTTGGAGCCCCTACAAAGGAATCCCTAGGTAGGCTAATGACTTCCGTACGTACGTTTTTAACTCAAGACCCGTGAGTTATGCGAAGCTCGCCCCACCGGGCCTAAATTCTAAATCTTAGTCCTTATGAATTCAGTTTAATCTAGAACCCTTGGGTATACCAGGTGGCATATTCCTTAATTCCAAAACATAACACGAATACAGCGCTTCTGTCGGTAGAGTACAACTGCAGGAATCAGCGGTGCCAGCGACCCCACATCCACAACAACAAGCGACGGCGACAATTGCGGCTATTTCTCGGCAGCGGAAAAGAACAGCACCAGAGCGTAGATAACAGAAGAGAAGAGGGGGGCAAAGTAAAAGAAGAAAGAACAGAATAGGTCGAAGGAGCAAGGCAG